GATGTGGTTGAAGGAGAAAAGGTAAATGCATCTCTCGGGCGTTAGAGTATGCACAGAAAACCTGGTCTGCAGGCTTTGGTGTGGTGCCTGTGGTTTGAGTCGATGCCTGATGACCTCCAAGGAGGCGAATGGTTTTTCATTGCTGTACAATGCTGGGTGTCAGTCGTTGCTCAGTGCTAACCTGTATTACGCTGGAACTGGTCTGATGCTGACTGTTCCCCTGACACTGTCCCTGCTCTTCAGGGTGCGGAGGCAGCTAATGTTACAGGTCCTGGTGGAGTCCCAGTGCAAGGCAGTAAATACGCAGCAGACCGTAACCATTACAGACGATATCCACGTCGCAGGGGTCCTCCACGCAACTACCAGCAAAACTACCAGAACAGTGAGAGTGGGGAAAAAAACGAAGGAGCAGAGAACATACCAGAAGGTCAAGCCCAGCAACGCCGTCCCTATCGCAGGCGGCGATACCCACCTTACTACATGCGTAGGCCCTACGGGCGTCGACCACAATATTCCAACCCTCCCGTGCAGGGAGAGATAGTGGAGGTAACATTTGCTTTAAGCGCGGCGCTGAACTGATTTGATTGCTTTGGAGCAGGGTGACGGGACGCGGCTTTCTGCTGCTTTTTGTGGAGACTCAGGGTGGTTTTGGTAAGGTTTGGCAGTAAGGTGAAACGTTGGAGCAGATGTTGATGAGCTGACAGTTGTAATGTTACAGCTTCTAAAAAGCAGAGTGTGTTCGAATTTGTGTTAACTTCCTGTATGATTAACTGGAAGAAACACAAATTCTACACTGTGCGTGCTCTTGTGCCTTGGGACCGCTGCCCACCTTGTACCCCTCAGACCTGCCTTACAGCCCCTTTCCTCGCGGCTTGGCCAGCTGTGGTGGTAATGGGCTTCTGCCTGTGGCTGAGATGGTTTGTTGCCCGATGTCTTCCAGGGTGCTGACAACCAGGGTGCAGGAGAACAAGGCAGACCAGTCAGGCAGAACATGTATCGAGGTTATAGACCACGATTCCGCAGGTATGCTGCAGATCAGCTGTGGGGTTTTTAAACCTTGCCTTTTAGCGACAGAGACAGAACATGGTGATGGTCAGATGCTGCATTGTTAAAGCCTAGCTTGACTTTCAGGGGTCCTCCTCGTCAAAGACAGCCTAGGGAGGACGGGAACGAAGAAGATAAAGAGAACCAAGGGGATGAGACCCAAAGTCAGCAGCCACCACAACGTCGGTACCGTCGTAACTTCAACTACCGACGCAGACGCCCAGAGAACCCTAAACCACAAGATGGCAAAGAGACGAAGACAGCCGAACCACCAGCTGAGAACACGTCCGCTCCCGAGGCCGAGCAGGGCGGGGCTGAGTAAATACCGGCTTACCATCTCTACCATCATCCGGGTGCGTGTCCGGGGGTTCTGGAGGGATGGGATTTGATGACTGACTTTTTTTCTTTTGATGCTTTCCTTTAATTTTTGCCTTAAAAGGTTTGGACTGTTCTTGCTCACGCGCATCGTAACTGAACTGGCCGCACTTGTGAGCGTGCCTGCAGAACTGAGCTGTGGGACTCTGCTGTACAGATGCTGATTAGTTGGGAGGACTCAGTTACAGGCTTTGGTTTTCATTGATGGTGTCACTGCCCCGAATACTGTTAAAATCTTGTCTGTGCTCAGTAGTTCAGGCTTACGGCAGTCTTTGTTCACCCCAAAGCAGTTAAATTCCAGCGGTGCTGGTGTAGTGACTTGGGAGTAGCAAGGAGGTGCAGGTCCTGGGATTTACTCAGCTCTGTAAGTATCTGAGCTTTTACCGCTCAGTTCCAAAGGGGAAGTGAAGAGCATTAAGACCTCTCTAGAAAGCTGATGCAGAATTTGCAGGAGCGTCTCTATCAAAACAAAAAAGTGCTGGAAAAATTGGTAGAGACGGTCAGTCCTTTCGATGGAGCGTCTGGGGTGCCTGTGGCTGAAGTGCTCCTTGGGTTGCGTGAAGGTCGGTGTTGGAACATGGTGTTTGTGGCAAGGTAGACGTGGTGCATGCTTGGTGCTGTCTCCTGATGGCCAGTTTTGCTAATTTGGCAAAATTTTAATTGCTAGGACTCTTTCTACTTATTCTGCTTTTTTTCTGGCACCTTCCTCGTCTGTTTTTACTCTCTCTCTGTGTTTCCTCTCACCAGCGTTTGTATCCCATTCCTAGTGTCTCACTCGCCACGTGTTGCCTGGAGGGCAGGCAAAAGGAAAGACAGACACGCTTAGGCTCCGGTGGGAGCGGGTGGTCACGTTGATGGGATGAACAGGGGATGCAGGAGCTGGGCGTGGGGAATGGCTTGGTGTCAGCAACAGTGATGGGGCTGGGGAGTGCGTGGTGCAGGTGGATCGCTTGGTACCACCTCAGGCCTTGCTGCAGTGTTGTCTGTGTGCCTGATGCAAACCTTTGGTTTATCCTGGCGTTCATCTCGATGGTTCAGACCTGCTGGATGAATTCCTAATGCCACAGGCTTTGAAGAAACACCAAGATGACACTTGGTTGCTCTTTCTGTCTGCTGATGGTATTGGAGACCGTAAATTGTGGTTTCTGTGGTCTGGGCAGTGGCTTGCCGACGTCACGCTGCCTCTGTTAGGCACAGGTAGAAATCTTCAACTGTCTTCTGAAGGTCTTCAGTTGTCCTCCTGCCTTCCCAGGGGTGGCTCGGAGTTCACAGCTCCGTTTCCAGACCTGCTCCTGCAGTGATGTGAGCAGCTCTCCCCAGGGGGCCGTCACGAAACAGGCTGAAGCAGGAGGCCAGGCAAGGGAGAGGTGCAGGCAGGATTCCTTTGCGCTTAGATGTAATGTCTTCTCTTTCTGGAGTCCTTTGCGTTCGTTTTGTGTGGAAGATGCAGTTCTGTCACGGAAGTGAGCTGGCGGTGGGAGGCTGGCGGGCTGATCGGAGAGCTGTTGTGGTGAGGTGTCTTCCGTGTGTGTGCCAGTGGCTCAGGGAGAGTTGTGACCTGCAGGTGAGCCTTGGCAGCCCAAACACCCGCGTAACCCTCTGACACCTGCCTGATCATCCTTTTTTTTCTCTCTCTCTTTTTCAGTTTAGTCATCAAAGAAAAGACTTAAGAAATGAAGAAGAAAATGAAATTCCAGCAATAAGAAATGAACAAAAGAATTGGAACTGAAGACCTTAAGTGCTTGCTTTTTGCTGTTGACCAGATTACTAGAACTATCTGCATTATCTATGCAGCATGGGGTTTTTATTATTTTTACCTAAAGAAGTCTCCTTTTGGAAACAATAAACAAGTTTTTTAAAAGCCTGTTTTTTCTCAATATACCTTTAAATGTTTTTAAATTGTTTCATATCTGGTCAAGTTGAGATTTTTAAGAACCTCATTTTTAATTTGTATGGAATATACACCTGGTTTTTTCAAGTCAAACTGCAAGCATCTGTTAATAAAGGTCTTAAAGAGTTACCTTGTGTGCTTGGTACTTTTACACCCGCTTCTGTGTGAAAGGTTTTAAGTTAAGTGTTTGTAAGAGGTTTGGGAAAAAATGGCTGCTTTACTCCTTCAGCATACAGGCTGTTGGGGTAAAACACAAAAAAATTCAAGTAAAAATCCCTAAAGTAATTGAGCCGTGCTGCAGCTGGGTGAGAAGGCTCCTGGAGGGTGAAGAGGGGAGGTGCTCGGTGTCAGACTGGTGCAGCTCAGCTGTGTCCCTGCTTGGAATGTGTCACAAAACTGAGGTAACAGGAGGGTGCTTGGGGAAAAAAACCACACACAAAAAGCCCCCACAAGTTGGCACTGGCAGCACGGCTGCTCTGCTTCGTACAGCACAGAGGTGAGGTCTTTACAGCTGCTTCACCACGGAAGTTGCTGGTGCCTTGTTCCTGTTGTGGGGGAAGGGGAATTGAGGGAAAAGCAGGGCAAAGGGGGGTTCCCAGCTGGATTTGGAACCCAGAGCCTTGGCCAGCAGCCTTGGGGGGGGGGAGGCTTGGTTTAACCAGCGTGCTTGGCCTGCCGAGGGCTGCTTTGCCTTGAGGCAGGTGTCAGAGAACCCAAACTGCTGCTGCCTGGACGGCTCCTCAGGTGACAAGGGGCTCCTCGTGTCCCTGCGGGGGCCGGCTGCCCTCGCGCCGGGGCGAAGGGGCACTGAGCCCAAGCTGCACCTCGCAGCAGAACCGCGGCGAGAGCCGAGTGGGCGCTGGGGCTGCTCCACCAGCGCCCGAGCTGTTGCTTCTCCCGGTCGCTGCTCGCTCAGCCCCGCAGCTGGTGGTGTACAGCACCGGTTACAAATCCCCGGTAATGAGCACAACTGCCATCGAGGCGGGTGCGGTGGGTGGCAGCTTTCTGTTCTCCGCACTAACGAGCTCTACGCTTGCATCAGGCGAACGCTTGTTCTCTTTAATTGTTTCCCTGTGTGCTCAAGTGCCAGCCATTAAATGCACGGGGCTGTTGGGTGGTGGTGTGCCTGACCTGAACCAGCAGTCCTCCCATGATCACCCCGAGGTGACATCAACAGCGCCCCAGGCTGCCAGCTTTACCCAGTTTTAAATGCCAACCTTGTGCTGCCAAATTTCCGAGCGTGGGGGACGGTTTCCAGCAGGGCTGGTGCATGAGTGATTGGGGCCACCAGCCACGCGGAGTCAGTGTTGCTCCGTGCAGAAGAGAAATTTAATTTCCGTTAAATTCCTCCAGCAGCTGAGCAATGTTGAAGGAGCTCTTTTGCCCTTGGTGTCCCAACAGCTTCCCCAGGGTGGTTGGGGGTCATCTTTTCTTACAGCAACACTTTCCTGGGGTTCATTTTCATGAAACCTAGCTGGTAGTGGGGGGAAAAAACCCTCCTCTGTGAGTGACTTCAGCAGCACACTTGCTTTTTTGCAGCCACTGATGCTACAGCCCATGTGGACCCTGCGACCAGCGCCTTGAAGCAAGCACAGAGATGTCCCAGTATAGGTGATAGTGCTTTAATGGGGTCAGGCTGCAGGAGAGAGCGTCCCACAGCAGGGCCGGGTGCAGGAGGTGCTGCTGCCTCTCACACGCAGGAGTCTATGGCGTACATCTTGCTGGTGGCCGTCCGGCCCCAGGGCTGGGGAAGCCTCTGGGTTTGACAGTGGCTGCTGGGATCTGCCAGGAAAGAGTTGGGGTTGTGTAAGCTCCAGCATGATACAGCTCCAGCATGTAGGCGTCAACACACCTCCACCAGGACCTCAGAGCCCCACAGATGTAGGTGGACTACTTCTGCACCCCCTCCACGCCCTTACAGAGCTTACGGGGTCCTCACTGAGCCCAGTCCTGCCTGGTGTGACCTAGCCTCCACCACCAAGGTGCACAGGCCAGACACAAAGGGGTTCCTCTTGATTTGGCTGGACCCTGCAAGAAGCAGCTGCACCCTCTGAGCTGGTCCTTCACCCCATGTACATCGCTGGAGGAAAAAAAGCTACTGAAGGAGGGATGGGGGGGGGACAGGGCAGACTGACCCACGCAGGTGTAGAGGCAGCAGGTCAGCAGGACAGATGCCATGAAGCAGCCTGTCGAGCCAGCCATCCCCAGCCAGCACGACCACCCAAAGTCGTAGTGAACTCCCAGGAATATATTTTGCGACACCAGCATGGCCCTCTCCACGTAGACATCCACTGCGTACCACACGGAGCCCACAAGGCCCAGGATACCTAGGAGGAATGGGGCTGGTTAAGAAAGAGCCATACAACCCCCCCATGCTCCCCAAGACCCATCTGAGGGAGTGTCCCTGGCTCCCAGCATCCGCCCCACTCCCTGTGGGATGCAAGGTCCGTCTTCCCCCAAGCTCTCCCAGCCACGCACTCCCAACGCCAAGAATGACACCAGCCCCGTAGCACATCTTCAGTTTGATACGAGGATCTTCCTTGAGGAATTTGATGCAGTCGAGTCCAAGCAGCAACATAGCCAAAGCCAGGCCAGCCAGGAGGTCCGCTGTGATCAGCAGGGTCCGTGTCACCACGATCTTCACTGGGCAGAGAAGGAAGAAAAAAAAAACAAACCAGAAATGGGACAGAGGAATGGTCGGAGGAACTGGTCTCCCCGCTCCAGATTGCTGCCTGTGTCCCTGCTAGAGTCACCAGCTCACCAGTGGCCATGTCCATAGGAGATATCTGCACTGGGATAAACCAACCCCGTGCCTGCCATGAGCCACAGGCAAGGTGCTCACCATGCTCATCGGAAACTTTGCAACAGGACTTAATAAGCACGTTATTAGACCAGCTCAAGAAACCAAACAACTTAAGGTGCACTAGTCAGCACCCAGGATGTGGTCACCTACTGAAGACCTTCTTGCACAGGCTTGGACAGAAGACGCTGCTGTCGAGACTGTCTTTTTTTTCCTCCAAGTTGTGTAGCTGGTGTTTTGAACGGCAAACATCAACATACCATTAAAAAATATGAGTGCTGGCATCAATTGCTGATGTGACTCCTGCCTACGAAGCTTTTTCCCCAGAGCAGCACAGCAGCCCCACTTAGTCCATGCTGACTTCTTGTTCCCTTCTCCACTGCTCAAATCTGTGTTGTCCCATGTCATCACCCTATACAGACATTCTGTGCAGGACCTGATGTGCCCTGCGCAGGCCAGGAGAAGTCTCCTTAGCACAATATGACTGTCCATGAACCAAGGATGCAAGACCTCGGCCAGTGGGAATGGTCTTCACCCCTGCATGCAACATGAATGGGGTTGCAAATCCCACCATGCAACGGGGAGCAGGAGCTGTGCCTGGGCTCTAGATGCCAAAACACCTTTATTGTGAGGTGGCACAGCTTCATGGCCTCTCCTGCTTGGTGACTCCATGGCAGATCTGGCTGAGCCATGGGTTGCTGTGCAGGCTGTGCTGATGGGGCAGGAGACCGAGAGAAGCCCTGGGCCTGCATTGCTAACTGATGAAAGTCAGCCCTTTGCAACGAGGATCATCTTCTCGAAAAGCGAAGAGGGAAAACTCTTAGCTGTGAACTTAAAAAATGCCTCCAGGCCATGCCAGCTTACCTGGATGGTCGGCCAAAATGGAGTCATACTGGTCACAGGTCCTGACCCCGTCCTGCATGTTGGTGACACACTCCCTCCAAAGTCCCCTGCATTTGTGACTTATCTGGAAGCAGGAGGAAGACATTCAAGCAAAAAGCACCAAAAAGCACCTCAGCTCCCTGGGGATATCCCAGCCCAGCAAGGCAGATCCTCAGGCTCTCGCCACCACAGCTGGACATGTGCTGGTGACTCCCTACCCATACCTTGCTCTCTGTCTCCTCCTTCTGCTCCAGCATTTCTCTATCTCACTAATCCAGCTCATGCAGAAGGCGGTGGGTTTGTCCTTTCCAAGCCCATGGAGGCACAGTGCAACCCCATGGATGTCAAGGCACCCACCTTGCTCCCGACTGCTAACCTTGAAGATGGGTGCTCTGCTCACCTCCAAGCTGTCGTCAGCATTCACCATCCAGCAGTCGGTGCATGTGGCAAGGAGCAGGAAGAGGGTTGAGAGAAGAGCAAGACCGAACGCTGTCATCTGCAAGGCTGCGCTCATGGGGTTACCTGCAGGGGCACAGAGACATCCGCCACCTCTGCTCTGTCCACTTCCCAGGTACCTGATCCATCAAGGACAAAGTGCCACTTAGGCCAGGGTGTACTCTGATCCCCATGGGTCACCTGGGCCCCATCTCATGGTCCTCAGTGCTGCCAAAATGCTCTAAACCCTTAGCTGAGGTTGGGGCACCAGGTTTGCATGTAGAGAGGGCCTTCGGGGATGCATTAATTTTGCAGTGGAGACATACCCACATCGGTTGCTCTCTAGATGTCCTCTCTTCCAAACAGACCATCTGAAGTTGCCAACTATTAGTATTTGCCCTTTGGGAATCCAGAGCTGCTGGAAACCATTGTTGAACAGATACTGTTGTCAAAACCTGTGATCCGAGCACGTGTCTCCTGATACCCCAAGGTTTTCTTGATGCCTCCATCCCTGCAACCGTGTGATTCAGTGGGAAGATCACCTGCATCCTCTTGCTTTTTTTTCTCCAAGAAAAGGAATGAAGTGTTCAAACATCCAGGTTGGAGCGCAAGGAAGTGTTCCGTGGAGGTGTCCTAATCTCAAGCCACAAGCTCAAAGAAAGCGTCTCCCGTTACAGAGGTGGATGAGGACTGCTGGGGCTTGACGTGGGTGCCCTTAAGTGCTGCCAAGGCTTTCCAAAAACCAGAAGGGATGGGACCATCTGTTTTCCATCCTTGCCGGAGGTGGAGGGACTTTGCAGAGAGGGGAGCTGCGCTCAAGGTATGGAGCAGAGGACATTGTATCTCCAAAACCAGGACATGAATCCCCCTTTGCTGTGTTTCGCACTCCAAGATGCTAAATATTTTAGTGCCTGAAGTTACAATCACTGCAAGAGGGGGCGGAGGTGTTCCCATGAGTTAATTAATGAGACCAGATGCGTCTCTGAGCTGCATGGGTTAATTATTGTAGGTGATGACTCTTCACCATGGCCAGGTTTGTGACCTTCAGCCCCATACTGCCCACTCGGACACGGCACAGGCTTCCCCATGCAGCAGAGGTGGGAAGGAGGGGCATGGTCCTCACACCCAGAGTGCAACATCTCCCACCATCACCCCTCCTGGGATGTCGCTGGGAGCAGAGGTACCACATTTCCATCAGCTTCACTCTGAGAGCATACCTTATTAACAGGCAGCCTCTCAGACCCCAATTTACAATGTTTTTTTAATTTCCCAGGCTCCCTTCTGAGCTAACTCTACACAACCTTGTCTTTTTCCACTAGACCCTGGCTGTTCTGGAGCCTTTGAAGAAAATCTGTTCAGCCATTCCAATTATATGAGCAAGGAAAAAAAAAAAAAGGAAAAGAAAAGAAAGAAATCCTTAACCCTGGCGAAAACCAGCTCTAATCCCTGTTAGCAAGAAAAATGGGCTCGGGGGTGAATGTTACCTTCACCGCAGGCTCATCCTTGCTGGGGTGAGTTGATGGCAAAAGCTCTTTGTCTCTGATGGCTGGGGCTGGGGATGTGGGTCTTGAAGGCTTTCCAGTGCCAATGGGGTTCAGTCCTGACCCATCTGATGGAGTCGGGGAAATGCAATGCCTGCTGGAGCCTGTGCTGGGCTATTTAAGGTTTTTCCAAGGCTTTGTGCTCCAAGGCGTGAGGGGCAACCCTGCGGTTAAAACGGTAATAGGTTGGAAATGGAGCCTTCCCAAAAAATTTCACGTGGGGAAACCTGTGGGAACCCGCTGGGAACGCTCCCTAGGTGGGGGACTCTCTGTCCCGGGCTAATATCCCACATCTTTTTAATTAGACCCTTTAATTACTGCCTAGGAGTGAGTGGCCTAAGATACGTCGGGTCCCCAGGAGTGGTGCAAGAGAGTCAGAGGGGGTGGAGGTGGATGGATAAAGAAGCTACAATGTGATCACAACTGCAGTGGTTATGGCTCAGGTAATGTGTCTGGTCAGCCCCCGAGCAGGTTTTTTGTGACCCCGGAAAGTGGTACCCCAGCTGCCTGGCACTTGGAGCTGCCCGAAAAACTTTGGGTTTGTTCCCTGATCCCCTGCTATTGGGGGAAAAAAAAAGTCACTTTTACTCTCACTTTCTTGCAAAGTGTCATGTGGCTGCAGCCTCCGAGCATCCCTGCGACCAGCTGTGCCCCACGGCCCTCAGGCATCGCTACACCCTCATCTCCTAGACCCATGGAAAATGCATCCGTGTTTCCATTCCGTGGCTTGTACCTAAGAGATTCACTTGGGTTTTTCAGGTTTCTTTGGGGTTTGGTTTTTTTTTTTCCTCCAGATAATCCTCTGCAGCATTGAACTGTGGGGATTTTGGCAACGCACCAGGGTCTTGGCAAATCCTTGAGCTTCAGCCCCGCAGAGGCACCCAGGTGCTTGCCGTGTGTGATTGCTGTGGCTTTATTTTGGGTTGTTCTGTTTACCCGGGGTTTTGGCACACGGCAGGTCGAACGCTTCGGCAGGTAGCAGTGAATTAGTGCTGAGAACGTCCAGGAGGGTTTGTGTAGCTTCATTTCCTAACATTTAAATCTCAGGGATTTATGGTACTTGGACACCCATGACATGAAATTCTGGTGTGACCCCAAGTAGTACAGAACTGCAGCTGCGTGTGCTGGCAACACCTGTAAAATAGGTTTATTTTTATTTTCTGCTTGTCTAAACAGTTTATTATATATCAACCTAATCTACCTTGTCAATCCTCAATTGAAACCTTTCGGGCGGCTGAAAAGATGCAGACAGAGGAGCAGATCTATCAGTAGTTGAATAATTAAGCTCATTTCCCTGGTTAATGGAGGTGGAAATCAGATCTTGTGTCCCATTAGGTTTGTAAAACCCGTATGTTAAAAAAATGGTACTGACAGGAGACCCAAATCTTCGTGTTTTAGCACACATTGTTCAGGGGAAACCTGCTATGGTTGGAAGGCAAAAAAAAAAAAAAAAAAGTAAAGATGTTTTCTTTGATGGGACCATCTGATAGGGGTGGAGAGGACTCTGTAGATGCCATTGGGACAGGCCAAGGAATAGAAATGAATCAAAACACCATCGAATTAAACCAGTCGTGGCTCAGAGGGGTGAGAGAAGCCCCTCTGCATGCGGACTGGTTGTGGGTGCTGGCCAAGGGCAGCACCACCACAGAAACGTCTTTGTGTTAAATATAACGAAGGGCACTAAAATGGATTTATAAATTGTTTTAATAATTTTTTTTTTTTTTTTAAGAAGAGAAGGTATGTGTGTGGGTTTCTACTCTATTAGCCACGTGGAATTTCAGGGTCATGGCAATTTGGTGAGATTTGCTGCGAACTTGGCATCTGGGGGTTCATTTTCCCTTTTCCCTCATTTCTGCCTATTTAACAACAAATATTATTTCACAGAGTTTTAGATGCAAGCAAGAGGTATGACCAGAAACCTAAATATCGGTCATCATCACACTGGTTTTATTAAATAAATGAAGTGTGTTGTTTTTTTTTGGGGGGGGAATATTTTTGCCTGGATGTGTGCGGATGGAGGCAGATCCCACATATCGCAGCGAGCCCTGCTGTGTCCCATTCCCGTATTTTATTCCTCTTTGCCCTGTCCAAAACTCACAAGGGATTGTCCAGAGGACAGTGGGGGCCTTTATACCCCCAAACACATTATCACCACTCAGCCATTTTCCCACCCGCCCCCCCTTGATGTTCTTCCAGCCTGGGTGTCCATCCACAGGGAGACCTTGGGTGACCCATGGAGATGCTGTGGGGAGCCATGAGGACCCCAAATCCCTGCTTTTTGAGGTGGAATGTGAAGTATTTGTGGATGAGGATGCTGAGACAAGACGGTGGCTGTGCAAAA